GAGGCACCAGAAGATCTGGTAGGATGGGTCGTGAGACACACACCCCCCACCCAACCCCAATGGCCAAAAACAATCCTCACCCAGGAAATTGAGCTTGGCCGAGAGGGACAGGGCATAGCCATCAGGCACTTTATGGAGTAGTATCGACATACGGGCTAATATCAGACTCATGGACTTGATCTGGACTGGGTTGGGGTGTTTCTCAATACACAATCGCTTGTTTATGTAAAGCTCTTTCTCATACACATTTGAGTGTGTCTACACATATGAATTTGGTTCTCCTGTCATCCAGGACGAACACAGCCTTAAAGCGCCATCCTTAATTGAAAACATTCAACTGTCTTGCGTCCCACCCCTTACTAGATGACCCCTTGTCCATGCAGTGCCCTGCCCCACTTCTTTGTTCCAAGAGTCTTACTCATCCTTCAGGACCAACCTGGGAGCCACCTTTCCTCAGAAGCATTCTTGAATACTCCCAGCTGAAGGTAATAGCTCCCTGTCATTGATTCTCCTAACTTCTGGGATCTCGCTTTCTCTCAGCCCTGGCCATTCTGGACTGTGACCGTCTTTCCCCCAAACCAATGTTCTCAGAAGAGAGAGTCTGTGTCTGGTTCAGGACTGTATCCTAAATGGCTGACACAGAAGAACCTTCGGGGGGCTTTTGCTGAGTGAACCGAGGAGGGGAGACTGAGGCTTATCTGCCCGTTTCCTAGGAGAAGAGCATGAAAATGGAACCGACTTCAAGGTCTGGAACAGGGAGGGTTAAAGTTTCTTGCATGAATGGATGGGTGGGAGGCTGGGGGAACGGGTGGATGGGTAGACGGATGGATCAATAGATTGAGGGGTGGACAGATATATGAATGTATAAATAGATGAATGGGTGGCTATATTGACGGATTAGTTTGTGGATGAATGGATGAGTAGATGGGTGTGTACATGGGTGGATAGGTGAATGTAAGGGCCCATGGGAGGATGGATGGATGGATGAGTGGATGGGTGGGTGGATGATGGATGGATGGATGGATGAGTGGATGG